AGACTTTCAGCAGGAAATAGGTTTCAGATTGTTGAAACCATAGATTGAGATCATGTAGAGGGAATGTAAGATAAGTGGGACAGCGAAGGCCGGAATTTTGAAGCACATCAGTGCTGGAGTAAAGATGAATCATTAAATTAAATATGGATGGATGGATGAATGGATGGGGAAAGTCTCTGTAAAAGGGAAAGCAACTGGTGGGGAGCAGTGCCTTAACACTGGGGCAAAGCAAATGTCCCGTGGACTCTGCATGCAGATTCAGCATGCAGTGCCCTAAGTGTTCATTTTAGTGCAGAAGTATTATGTTAAATTAGCCCTCTCATTCTCAAGTTTCCCCTCCAGCTCTTCTTTATCGCAGGAATTCAGGCACACACAACTGATTACCACCAAGAGCAAGTGTACCCCCAGTCTGAGAAGTGTAGATGTGGGTTTCTCCAGGCCCCTTGAGAATCCTGACAGTAAATGGCTTTGTCCAAACTGCGTAAACAGTTTTGGCTCAGCCTAAGGCATCCTGCTGAGGTGTATTATCAACCAACTATTCTGAAAGGACAAGAGTTATGTTTGAAAGCTAAATGAATTTTTTAATTGTAATATATATTTCTGCCCATTTCTCTCATGAACTCTACTTATGTCCAAAATATAACTTAAGCTGTTTTACACAATATTAAGAAAAATTTTGAGTATGAGAAATTAAATTGGCATTGAAAACACATATGCCTACCATCTAGATTTTAAAAACTACAACTTTACCATGCTTGCATTATAATGCTGACTTAGAAGTGGTTGGCTTATTCAGGGAACAGAAAGGACATCAGCATGGCTGATCTCTATGGTCGGAGCCAAAGAGCTGGGCTGTTAGTTGGAGATGGGTAAAGCCTACAAGGCCGTGGCCAGGGCTTCGGATTTTATTCTAAGGCAGTAAAAAGTTCTTGAAGAAAGGCATCCTTAATCAGTGAGCTGTGGTTGTTGCCCACAGTTCCTCCAAACTCTTCACCTGAGGAAATATTGCTGATGGTGAGGGATAGATGAGAAAGGCAGACAGATCGTTATGGTGAAAACTGTCTTCTAACTACCTTAACCACTTGGGCATCTCCGTTCTCCTGGGGTTGTTCCCAAACTCAAGACTGTGCGTGTGTGTTTCACATCTTCCAGTGTCACAGAACAAGACACTGTCTCTACTCCAGCGAGAAAGCAGAGTTTACTCTAGAGTGAGGTGCTTTTGCTGTAACTTGAGTATGTCTGAAGATCATGTGTTCTGTGAATGAATTAACTCCTGTTTCTTCTGAGTATGGATTAGAGTAAGGAGATTGAAGAGAATTGAAACATGAAGCTTAATTCTTTAAACCTGTGTTTTGGTTCCAAATCGTAAAACCAATTAGTAATTCATTTGTTCAGTATGCCATGTATTTTTAAAAATGGAGTTGAACAAGATAGAAAATATCTAACTTTGAAGATTAGAAAGTTGGAAGCTTACTTTCCTTTGTCATTCTACCTTCAGTTCAGATGTTTTGTGGATAGTACTTTTTAGGTATAAAGGATGAATTATTTTATTTTGTCAACTGTTTTGCTTAAATTTAGAGTTTATGTTTATCAAACATATACATATGAATGATCAGAGGGGTCAAATAGTTAGCATAAAGGCTCCTAAGAAAAAATACCAGATTCCTACCCTTTTCCTGCTCCCTGGAGCTAACACCTTTCAGCTCCTTTGACTGTTCTGGCATCAGTCTCCACATCTTTAAAACATACGCCCTATCTGTGATTTTTCTCACACTGCTTATGATACAGAGTACATAGAGACAAGTGGTTCTGCCTCAGTAGCTACTTAGGTTTCTTTTTGTATTTGTTGTAAATCAGCAACACAGAATCAATACATAGTAGGTCTGTGCATGTTAACCTACCATACTTCAGAACTCAGAACTATTTCTGAAAATACTACTATTCTTCCTCTCTTAGCAGTGTTGTAGGCACATGTATTACCTGTTTGCTTTATTGTCACTTAAGGTAGTCTAAATTTTAAGCTTTTCTAATTATTTCTGAATTATTCTAAAAATTGTCACTTAGTGCATGCAGTATTCTAATGTATATATAAGTTGAATACATAGCAAAGCTAGATGTAAAAAACAAATTCTCTAGTGCAGAAGTTTTAGGAGTTGCTATCTGTGCCCCCACCCCCAATCTTGGGTAGTTGTATTAAGAGACATAAATGAAATAAAAGAATCTGTTGAAATTTACTGCACCCTAAAAGTAAGAACTATATAATTTCACCTAATAGTTAATACTTTTTAACAGCTAATAAATCATAAAAGTATAAAGTGAGGGGTGGATATGAGTCTGTCATGAATAATCTCACTGTTATGATTGAGTTCTGTTGAGGAATTCTACCACTTTTGTGTACATGTTACTGTTAATTCCTCAGAGTACACCTTTGAAGTTTATGTGTTCTATAAAGTCTTAGCTGCTCATTGTTTGATAAAAAGGAACGATTGTGCCATGCCTCCCCCTCCCTCACAGAAGCATTTGTGTGTGTGCTCTTCTTGGCAGCTGAGCTTTCTGCCATGACCAACGTTCGGTGTGGGGTAGGACCTTTTAAGCCTCTCTTACCCTGTAAAGTCACCTCTACCACAGTTGAGCCAGAACTGAAAATATCTCTGCTGCATAGCACCATAACACTTCCTGCAAAATACCATTGAACGCTCCCATCCTGCACCCAGCCCTGACATACGTAGCATCACTGCTTTTATTTGCCAAGTTAAAGACAGGATAGCTAATATTTTCAGAGAACTTATTGTGAATGTGGCCTGTTGCATTTATGCAGAAGCAGCCTGCATGTATCCCCCAACCCTCCCCTGATAGAAGGTAATGGAAGAGAATGACTCAAGATTTGTGTGCCAAACTGGGCGTGGTGGCACAAACCTGTAATCCCAGCACTTGGGAGGCTGAGGCAGGAGGATTGCCATGAGTTCAATGCCAGCATGGACTACATACTAAGTTTAAGCCCAGCCTGAACTGCACAGAGAGACCATGTCTCAAAAAAATAGGATTTGTGTGCCATCTAGCTAGATAGTGAGGTAATTTAACAGCCAGTTGGAAGTGACTCCCCATCCAAACTTCTTGTCACGAGAAAAGATACTTAAAAGTAGACTTAAACATCTTTGAATTTTGAGAACATGTGGTGGAAGACACCTGTTTTTAGGGTCCCTCTCTTTGGTTAATGAAGGTGTGATTTTAATTTGATCCAGAAAAGGATTTATAAGTTGACAGAAGCTAAGGTAGGTGATACTTGAGGATAGAGATTGATCAGAACAGATCATATCAAAACATGTGGAGAAATAACATGGTGATTTATTATTCAGTTAGAGGCTTAACACTAACATTCATTTTCATGCTCTTTTCCCCTAAATATTTTTTCATTGTAGATATATATGCTATTGTATCTCACATGTTAGTGGGAAAAATTAAATTTTTCAAATGAAATTTTAGGCCAGGTTCAAAGAATTGTTACAGCGCTGTGTATTGGAGAAATATATGTTTATATGGGGAAAAAACAAAGTAGAGTTGGGGTATCTGAGATCCTCTTCCTACTTTGGTGCACAGTGGGAGGTAGGGAAATATCTGGGACAATATGAGGTTGGAGTTCACAGTTTAAAAACCACTAAATGAACTGTAAGTTTCTTCTGAAAAGTGTTATTTTTGTATTTTATACAATACTGTTTAATGCCTATGAATTTAGCTTTTGGTTTGCTAGCTATGAGTTTGTTTTATTTTGTTGTACTGAGGATTAAACCCAGGGCTTTCACACTGAGCTACATCCCCAGCTGTTTTTAAAATTTGAGATGGTCTCATTAAGTTGCCCAAGCTGGGACTGAACTGATGACTCTCCTGTCTCAGCTTCCGAATAATTGGCTTTACAGACATGCACCACCACACCTGGCCAGTTTAATGTTCTTCAGTTTATTTAGTAAAAGAAATTGCAACTTCCAACATGTTCCCAAGTCATTTCCATTATTTATCCTGTTAGCTGTGTCTTCCTCATGGTCATTTTTGGAATAGTTGTATCTTGTCGTTTGTATAATGTAATATTGTGGCATATGTGCTTGAAATGTTTGCTGCCGCCCACAAAAAACTTGAGAACTTTCAAAAGTTCATTATCCCCAGGGTTTATGCAGTGTGTTCTTTCATAGATGGTGGTCATGTGCAGGGTGAAATAGTGAACGTTGGAAATGTCCTAAGAACCTTAAGGATTATGAGGAAATTTGTATGCCGTGCTATCCAGGGTTCTCTCCAGGACTGACCCTGGACTCACCAAAACAGGCCAGTGGGTGTGCTGAGGAAAGGTGTTTGTGTCGACGCGGCTCACAGGAGCGCTCGGGAGCAGCACAGACACTGGAACACTGGAGGGAGCATCAGCAGAGAGCAGGTTGGGAGGCCTGTTGTTGGAGCTGTCTGGCTAACCACCTTCCTGGCTTCCTGCCTCTTTGTCCTCACCATAGAATAGAGACCTCTGTTAATTGGAGGCACAGCATGATTGGATCAAGACATACCCAAGCTTATTTTGCTGCTTAGTTCCTTGACTCTCAACCTTGCTGAACTTTTCCTGTAAATTGCAGCGCTAATGTCCTTCAAGGGTTGTTTGAAAGGATTCCATGAGATGGGGAATTAAGTGCTTTGTATGGGGTAGTGGTTGTCCTGTGAAAGATAGCTGCTGCTACTACTTCAGTATCACCAGAAACTTCCTCTTCATGGGTGGTTAGGAAGCAAATTATCTAAAAAGAAAAAAAAAAATAGTTTTTAAAAGTACAGAGCGTTCTATGATTGTAAATCATCTTTCTGTGCCCTCATTTCTTACACATACTGGTGGGTTTCCCAGTTCCTACTGATTTTGAAAGTCATGTAAAATGGATTTTATAAATGTGAGATTCCTCCCAGATTAGTATTTACAAAGTATGGCTTTTGTTGACCCCACTGTTTGCTTACATGAGCCTTGTACTGCTTTGCAGGTCAAGCAGGCAGAGTGCAACAGAGCCCTCTGTCACTGCCGTCATGCCGTTCCCATTTGGGAAGTCTCACAAATCTCCTGCAGACATCGTGAAGAACCTGAAGGAGAGCATGGCTGTTCTGGAAAAGCAGGACATTTCTGACAAAAAGGCAGAAAAGGTATGTATTTAGCTTTCTTTATATTTTAAATCTTGGGCCAGGGATATAACTCAATGGCACAGTGCCTGCCTGGCAAGCACAAGGTCCTGAGTTTGATTCCCAGTACCTCCCCAAAAACCTTAAATGTTCTGCATTTTAAGTCTTTTAATTAGGAACAAATATAAGGTAAACTATGGGGTAATTTTTAAAAACCAATAAATTCCCATTTAAACCTTTTAAAATGCTGATTGATTGAAGTGCTGGGCATTGAACACAGGGGCTTGCGCGTGCTAGGCAAGTGCTCTGTCACTGAGCTGCATCCCCAGCCCTGGGTTTTAAAGGTAGCATTTGCATAAGTTTTCTCCTGTACTTCCATCTCACAGACACATTTCCATCTTTTTTTTATCCATTTTTCACTTGAAGTTTTCATGTTTGTCTAAAGCATGTCTCCATCTCCAAATGTTTTACCTGATTATTGAAAGCAGTGTTTCCACCCGCAGACTTCCTGGGAGGGCACTGCGCCTGAGTTTTTGCGTGTCCTCTCCACTCGTGCCGACTGTTCATCTACCCAGTCACTGTAGTCCATACCCCATTTTCAGGCCCTTAATGTCTTGCCCCACTTCCCTAAAACATTATTTTCAATAAGTGTTGTAGATTCTGCTCACAAGGGTTTATGAGTACAATTTGAGGTCCTTTCCGTCTTGAAGAATATCCCCATAATCTTTCTTGTGCAACTTAGCAGTCATCTTCTTTAAAATAGCTCCCCGATTTGCTTCTTCACTTGCATCTTCAACACAAGACTGTGATCAAGTCTCTTTCCTTGTTCTCCCCCATGCTGTAGGCTTCACCAATCTCCACTAAGTCAGATGATCAAGTATACTCTATTTAATGCCTTTTTTATTGTTTCTGCCTATAATCTTGTTCCCCTTGCCTCTGTTTCCATCTTTTAAAACTACCCCACCCATATTTTTCTTTTCCTAAGTGGCTTCCCAGGATAGTCCCTTTCCTGTCTGTCCCAGCCTTGCCCACTAAAGCAAATTACACCATTTGGACACCTGTCTTGGAAATGTCAGAACTACCAGCATTTTCAGCCCGATAGTGTTTGTCTTATATTTTTGTCTCCTGTTCTGGACTGTAAACGCTTTGACCAGTATTGGCATTTCTGGCCCAACAGTGCCCTCCACAGTATCTGACTCCCATGGGGCTGGGTGCCTGCTGTTTATGAATGAGTGTTTAATTGGGATAATACTTTTTACTTTTATCTTTTATTAAAGAAATTGTTCTATATCCTGGGATGAAAGATTACTTAACTACTACCATCTGTTTTAAGACTATAGTTTACCTTTGTTCACTGATAGAATGTTATGATGGTTTGAGAGTCTTACAGTAAATATTAGTATATTACAGTGTAGTATATGTGCTATTTGGTGAGTTTGAAGCATGTATGACTGGTTATTCCTATTCTGAATGGCCCCAGATTGTGTGGCTGTGAGTTATTATTTCCGCTATTTGTATCTTCCTCTATTGCTTTATCATAATCTTTTGGTATTCACTCCTGGCTAGTCCTAGCATTCAGGTTCCTTGTAATTTCCCATTCTATTTATTATTTGTAGATATTAAAGCTGATGTTAAAGCCCTTTGGACTAGGAATCCAGTCTAAATAAAATAATTTGTTCCAAAAAATATATAGATTCTATGAGAACTTCTGAGTCAGATAAGTCATACGTAAGCACAGAACTCACTTTCTCAGATACTTTACTGAAGTATCCATAGGAAATAAAAACATAAAAAGTCTGGCTCCAGAAACTAGAAACAAACCAGGTGTGGTGGTGCATGCCTGTAATCCCAGCTGCCTGGGAGGTTGAGGCAGGAATATGACCAGTTCCAGGCCAGCTTGTGCAACATAGTAAGACCCCATCTCAAAAAAACTGGAAACGTGTTCTCGGGAAGTTAGAAGAGAACATTTGCCAGAGCCACAGTAACATCTGCCAACGCGGAAGGTAAAAGTACTTAACCCGGCCTCCAGCTCAGCATTGAACATCTACAGCTGTGGAAGCACCCAGCAGTCATGATCAAATACAGGGTTATCTGAGGTGGAGACAGCTACAGCTCACAAGAAACAGAGGTGGCACCATGACTGAGATGTGTCTGAAATGGGCACAGAGCTAAAGAGAGAGATTTTGAGGGACAGCAGGCCTCCTGGAGTAGAAAATGAAACCTGCCTGCTGGGCTTCCCACAGTGGCTGTTCTTTCATCCTAATCTTGAAATAGCTAATCGTTGAAGAATAATGTGTGTGTTCCCTAAATTTAAAATGGTGTATTTTCTTTTGTCTGTACCTAAATGTGCTGTCTACTCATTAAGTTCATTCTGTTCATCAAGCTAATACTACATATGCCTTGGGGGATTACTAAGGATTGAACCTGGAGCCTTATGCATGCTAGACAGGTGTTCTACTATTGAACTACACCCTTATCCCCTATCTAATATTGAACACCCACTATGTGTTGGGTCACATTTTAGGCACTGGGGAGAGAGTGCTCATGTAAGATGGGAAAGGTGTCTGCTCCTTTAAAGTTTCCTAATTGAGAAAGAATAATTGAGAAAGATAGATAGTAGACACATAATGAGAATTTCAGGTAGTCATAATTGCTTAAAAATAATAAAACAGACTGATGTGGTAATAGAGTATAGTTCTTAAACATTTTGGTCTCAAGACCTCTTTTTTTAATATTTTTAATTATTAAAGACCAAAACTAACTTCATATAGGTGGGCTTTTGGTTGACAGTATCCAACTAGAAGTTAAAACAATGAAATTTACAAGTATTTATTCATTTAAAAGTAATATGCTCCATTCCATGTGTATTAGTTATTTTCCTGTCACTGGGACAAAATCCCAGTACCAGAAACTTAGAGTAGGAGAGCTTTACTTGCCTCACAATTTCTGGTGGGTTCAGTCCATGGTGCACTGGCTCCAAGGCAGAAACAGCGTGGTGGAAGGGCATAGGTAAGGAAAGCTGCTTAGCTCATGGCAGCCAGGAAGCAGTGAGAGAAGGGAGGAGACAGGGATAAGAATACCCTCTTCCAGGGCATGCCTCCAGTGACCCACCTTCAATCATGTCCTGCTTCCTAACCACACATTCAGCTGTGAACTCACAAATGGACTATTCCACTTGTGAGCATAGTGTGCTATGATGCAGTCACCTTCCACAAGACCCACCTATGTTCACAGGAGACAAGGGGTGCATTTTAGATCAAAATCCTAACACCACATTAACATAAATACTGTATTTTTATGAAAAATAGCCATATCATCCTCAATGAAAAATATAGTGAAAAGAGTGGCATTGTTTTAAGTTTTGAAAAGTTTCTTTTAATGTCTGGTTTAATAAAAGACAGATGGTTTCTCCTAAGTGTTTGCATTACAGTCTTTCAATATTTTGGTCTAAGGTGTAATGAAAATCTGGCCTCTTTTATGGATGGACAGATGGATAGATGGATGTGTATAGGTATAGATGGATAGCCAGCCTTTTGTAAAAAATAGAGTTCTGTTTTGGTCTTCATGAGACAGGGTCTCGTTACGTAGTCCAGGGCCTTGAACTCACAGCTGTCGTCCTGCCTTGGCCTCCTGAGTCCTGGGATTACAAGCATGTGCCGTTCTGCCCAGCTAGAGAAGAGTATCTTACTGCATTTCAAATAATTTTAAATGTTTGATACCACACTAGAATTTGACAGTTGGTAGTTCCTTGGTCACAACTCAAGTTTGAAATTACATGAATGAACTTTCATACGATGTGCTTTAGAAGGACCGTTTACCCATGCATGAGTTTATAACATGCATTGGTCATTTAGAAAATGGTGGATCTCTGGCTTGTACAGGTCTTCAAAATGTTGACACACTATCTGATACAAAAACTAACATTTTTTTTAAATATCACCACTGATCACATCAGGAGAGTCTTATCCATTGAGCCGATGGTCGTGCTTATTCATGGTATATTAAAATTTTAGAATTCAAATTTGGCTATAAATACTGCATGTTTTCCTTTAACTATTCCATTAATTTTTGAGAAAATGTCTGCCAGATGTGTCTGAGTAATTTATCAGTTTGTCTTCCAAGTAAAAAACATGTTCCTTAAAACAGCTAGCCCACCTCATAGTTTGAACAATCATATAGCACTTTTCCTTAAATCATATTCTAGAAGCCAAATCTACTTTATACATACTTCCTGTTTCATACACAAATGTTGAAAAATATTAACTAAGCATGTGGTGACGAAGACTGCAGTGATTGCCAGTACAGTTTGCTGTCCCTGTCTTGGTTTTTGCCAGGGTGTTAGCACTGTCAGTGCAAATTGCAGTACAGAAGGAAAAAGTAGATAATACACAATATAATACACAGTACTGGTCACTTTACTACTAATGTAAAAATTTCACAGACTCTGAAAAGGTCTTGAGGAGCTCGAAGATCTGCAACGGCAAACAGAAACACTAAAAACATCACCCAGGATTTGCAAGCAGATTTATTTGTCAGTGGGCACTGACCTCAAGAAAAAATATCAGGCCCTGAAGGCTCGAGGAGGGAGGTTTTTATGGGGCAGATTGCAAAGGGGAAGTACAGAGGCAGAATACTTGGCTATCTTTGATTGGTTCTCACAATATGCATCATAGTGACCAGCTGTGTATCACAGTGACCAGCTGTTTCTAGGAGACAGAAGTAACAGGAACTGTTACCTGGGCAATTAACAGAAATTGAAGTATATTAGTGCAGTGAGGGGGCATTTTCTGCTACAGGTCCATACTTGGAAATATATTGTAGTGGAAGGTATAGGGGGCGGGGAGCGCGGACATAGGGAGTATCCTAAATTAGATAGGGCAAGTCTCGTTGAGAAGGTAGAATTACAGATGAGTATAAAATGACAGCAAGCAAGTTAAGTCCCAGATGAAATATTTATTTGACTAAATCAGTGATTTTTCAGCTAGGGATCTTGAAAGGGGACACTTGGGCTGTGAGAATACATT